ATTTATGTAATTGCAAATGTAATTTCAAAATCTTAATAAAGTACTAGCATGACTGCTTAAGGGAAAAAAAAAAAAAATTAATAACATTTTTATCTTTTAAATAAAACTTTTCAGGTTTCTGATTATTTTTTAATTATTTTTTTTGCATAGTAAATATTCATTCTTTAACAAAGCTATTGATAAAAAAAACTCATATCTTTTACTAGTAAAATATTGAATTCTCAAAAAGTACTTTAAAGTGTCAAATATATGTTATTCGGTAAATGACCATATAGATGACCCGGTGTAATGCAATTTTTTGCAATAGAAAAAAGTTTAAATTACATGCATTACATATCACATGCTATATAAATAATATTTTAAAAATTGATCTACATTATTTGTCACATGCGGCATCTATATTAAATTTCACGTGATAATGTACCTACCCTAAATCTTACCCAGGTGCGTCAACAAAATTTCACAGGCACGTGACGATCGAAAAATTCTTTTAAAGTTCTTTTAGATTAGGGTTAGCGTTTCTAAGATGAAGCACTAGTGGGGTTTATAGTAAAATTTCTCAATAAATTTTTTTTCTTATGCAAATTTTTGAGAAATAAGCGATTTTTGAAAAACGAACGTTTTGTTTTGATCTTCCTAATCGTGTAACGTTACATTAAAACGAGACTCACTATTGGATGATCATCACGTGAAAGTGAAAATTTGTTGGCGCACCTGGGGTACGCGAAATCTATGGACAGTTCTTAGGGACAGTGCGAGATCATGTGATATTTCGAATGATATAGATCATGTGTTTTCATACGATTTATATATTTAATATAATATAAAGATCTGATATAAAAAAATGTAATAAAATATCTGATTATGAATCACGGTAATTTATTTTTGAATAAGACATACACCAAGTTTTAAACATTAATTACACAGATTGATTTTACCGATAGATATATTAACTTAGAATGGAAAAATTAAATGATTCAAGAATCGTGATTAGCATCCAGAAACTGAATATCATTCTTGTAATTTTGAAACCTGCAGTATTACCAATACATACGTTAAAACTAACATTACCAAAAAGTGATTAATTATAATATAGTCGCAAAATCTGTTAATTGTGTTTATTATTAGACTGTAGAAGAAATTAAGGAAAGCAATTAGTTTGGTTTCATAAATAAAGGACATATTAAGACCTATTAGTTTGTTTATGAATATTCCCAAGGTTTTATATTTAATGGTGCCTAGCTATAAAAAAAAAATCAAATGTATAAAAGAATAAAATTCGTAAAAATTATAAATAAAAAAATCAAATCGCCACTAGTAATATTGTGTTTGAATAAACTACTTCGTGCTAAGTAAAATACAACTGTTTAATTCCTTTATATAAAATAATCATTTATAAAAAAAATAAATAAAACTCATCGTTTCATTATGTCACAATCACAATCACAAATTCCAGAAGTTGGCGATGAGTTTCCAACAGCAGAAAACTTCAAGGAAATGGCACAACAAGGTGCTAAGGCAGCGGGTTTTGCCTTTAGCGTTTCATCATCAAAAATGTCAGGTGGTGGAAAAGGTGGCCACACCCCTTTCATAACTTTGCAATATACAATGGGAGGTATCTACAGAAATAACCATAAAATTAATGAAGAGACCCGAAAAAGAAAAAAACTCTCAAAACGTCAAAACTGTCCTGTTGTTTTACGAGCTGTTTTAAATGAAAACACCAGAACTTGGGTAGTAACGTCTTCCAAAAGTGTGCATAATCATGAACTACTTATTCCATCTCAAATCCATTGTCTTCCTCAACATCGACACCTCAATACAGAGCAAAAAGAGTTGGTTCATATAATGCTTAAAAGTGGGGCATCAACTCGATCAATTGCTAATGCGATACAGGAAACAAGGTACTGTATATACAAAAGATATAATTAATGAACGTGACCGAATAAAAAATGCTTTAAATGAGGGCACAAATCATGACACTACAATGTGCCTTATAAAAATGTTAGAGGAACGTCAATATATACTTCATCATCTATTAACAAAAGATGGCCATATGTTAAACTTATTTTTCACACATATTGAAGCTGCACGTCAAGTAGCTATATGTTCAGAGATGCTTATAATCGATGCAACATATAAAATGAACTTATATAAGTTACCTCTCATCAATGCAGTTGGTATAAGTAATATCGGTAATGCTAAAGCTCTTAACACGTATCAAATAGCAATGGCATGGGTAGCAAATGAGCAAGAACCCACATATGAATGGTTTTTACTTACTTTAAAAGAGACAATTTATAATATTTTTTTTTGTTCTCCAGAAGTATTTGTTTCAGACAGGGCTTTGGCTCTTAGAAAAGCAGCAGACAAGGTTTTTCCAGAGGCAAAAAAAATGATATGCATTTGGCATATGTTTGCGCAAAACTTACGAACTACATGTAGAAAATTTTTTGATTCAGATGAAGAGTATAATGAACTCCTGTTGGCGGTCCAGAAAGTTGTCTATGCTGAAGAAATGAATAAAGTTGAAAAAGCATTTAAAGAAATTAGTCAAGTGACAATGAAAAGTAAGGATCCTGAATATATTCAAAATTATCTTGAAGAATGGAAAAAAGATGCAGAGTGTTGGATGCATGTTTTTACAAAGAATTATCCGCATATGGGAACCTAGTCGACACAGAGAGCAGAAGGAAGTTACAGCACTCTAAAAAAGGCAATAGAAGCATCAAGTGGTTTGGAGCAAGTATTTTTACATATTGATCGTGCCTTTCATCAACATCAACTACAAACAAATGAAGCCCTAGGCTCGAACATTGTTTCTGCTGATCCATTTATATGTAATGACAAAAGGTTTGAATTATTGCTTGGAAAAATTTCTAGATGGGCGATCGAT